CTTGTACATTCTTTCTTCCCTAAAATAGTGAATCCCTGTCGACTACCTATACGTGCCAACCTCGTACATATAATGTAGTACATACAAGGTTAACATAACATATATATAGATAGATGTATATATATATAACATACTAACATAAATAACAGTACTCATGGGTATGGGTAGGTGGGCAAACAGAGTGGTGGAAGTTGTGTGCAGCACCAATCCCAATGGCATTGTGATGTGTTAATGTTAACTTACATCTGGACATTTTCTGCCCGGTTAGCTCAGTCGGTAGAGCGCAAGGCTCTTAACCTTGTGGTCGTGGGTTCGAGCCCCACATTGGGCGAGAATGTCCCGTATGTGTGTGAAAGGGACATCAGTAGACCAGTGCCCTGCACCTAATGTAACTATTATGCAGGCTTAGACATTCATTCATTCCTGACCCCCTTCTCATAATATGTCCTCGTCATGGTGCTGAATTTCTGACTTGTATTCCTGCTGGATGGGATGGGATATGATGGGATGCCTGATTCCAGAATTGCGAATTAGCCCACAGCTACTTGCATTATAATTATCAGTCCATCCATGCTTTATCAGTATGCGAAAACCCAAACTCTATAACACCCTTTTGCCTGCTCTATCTCTTGTTTTTATGGCACCGGAGAGTTTGCCAGCTTTTTCCTATAGCTAGGCCAACACGATTAGCAAAAGCCTCAGGTGGGGACCCTGGATCCAGCTAGCATGACTGCACCTACCCATCCATCCTAACACCCTATAGCTAAACACCCTAAACACCCTAACACCCTAAAAACACGAGAAGAACAAGTGTAGGTAGGAGTACACATCAACCAAGCCGGGATCCAATCTGCCTGGATCGAGCAGGCGACCTAAGGATATCAGCATCGCATCTTTCGATTACAGTCCTTCGCTCTTCCAGCTGAGCTAAGATCGGGAGCATGGTGCTCAACGCGTATCGAGACCAGGTTTCGATCCTGGGACCTCGGGGTTATGAGCCCCGCACGCTTCCGCTGCGCCATCTCGATTCTCATGTGCACACCTACCTTCAACTCTCGCCAGAACTTGTGGATCGTGGATGCCCGACAAGTAGCTCCAACCAAACCGAGTAGAGCCTTTGCCCTAAGGATGAACCTATGGCATAATGTAACAATAATAATGGCCATGAATATCGCCCAACATGCAATAAGGGATGAAAGTGTCGAGGACAGCTAATTATCTTCAGAATTGTGTTATGTTATATATGTGTATGCAGCCCCTATCTAGAGATGTGTAGAGTTTTTGAATCCCTATATGTATTGCCTGTCTGTTCTGAAACCGACTTTGAGCATGTGATTTTGGCGTTGTCTACCATCCCTTCTTTCCTGGAGCCCACTTCAGATATGCTCTGGCACATGTCTTGTACTGTACAAGTTGTACTCTGTTTTGGCTTGGATTCAATGACAGCAAGGTTCATCCCATGGATTTGAAGTGTCATCATAATGTGCTGAGTGGGAATTGAGCCTGCGACATCACAACCACCAATCCTCTATCACAATGATAAACTTTTACAACTCCCCCCCTTGGACTTCAATGTTGTCCAGAATGTAACATATACATAAAAGTGAGCACAAGGATGGGGACCACCTCTGGGAGCCAAGGGGGCCCATGGATGGTCAGAAGCCATTACGGTGGTGCTCAGCATGGATCTTGAGATCC